GTGGGTTCTCCAACTGCAATCAGACTGCAACCTCATAAGAAACTCACGCCAGAACTCAACCCAAACAACTTCCCTAACCCCTCTGACAACATTTGTGGGAGATACTGTTTGAAATCACTACATTTTGAGATAATTTGTCATATAGCAATAGATAACTTAAAAAGTTTATTCTCAAATAATATTTTCCTTTTTTCAACCACAACCTCTATATATTAAGACATAATAAAAGTTACCAGATTACACAAAACTAATTGGCAGCCTCAAGTTATGGAATCAGGTAGTTTTGGGACACAGTGCTTTGAGAACAGCCTTCCAATAAAATGTCAGAGGCCATATAATATTTCCGGAACCCCTCATTCAGGCTCAAATGTGAACTGCTGATCGGGTACAGTGGCTCACATCTGTAATCCCAGGACTTCAGAAGGCCAAGGTGGGCGGATCTCAAGGTCAGGAGTTTGAGACCAGCCTGGCCAACATGGCAAAACGCCATCTCTCTTTTTAAAAATACAAAAAAAAAATTAGCCAGACATGGTGGTGTGCACCTGTAGTCCCAGCTACATGGGAGACTGAGGCAGGAGAATCACCTGAACCCAGGAGGTGGAGGTTGCAGTGAGCACCGAGATCACGCCACTGCACTCCAGCCTGGGCCACAGAGTGAGACTTAGTACCCAACCCCCCACCACTGACCCCCCTACCCCGCCCCCCCGCAAAAAATGAACTGCTAATTGATGGTAATGCTGTATACAATATGGAAGTCATTCAAATACTTATTTCTTCCAAAATGTCGGAGCCTAACTTTAAAAGCAAGTACTGTACTATATTCTATTTTTTCACAGGACAGCAGGAGGAAAACCTCTCCAGGAAATTTTTAAACTGTTAAGCATGTATGGAAAAGCCACTGTGCCAGCTGCATCATGCTGAACACAAGCAAAAAGCATAATCAGTGCTCTGTGATGGCATTTGGAGTATATAAAAAATTCTAGCTATCTAGAACATTTGACAAAAATAACACATATTCTAAGGGTTTAGGTAGCTGATACTTTATAGTACCTTTTCATAATATAATAGCACAATCAAAAGCAACTGAAAAACGTAGGGCTATTTACCTGTATAATTCAAAGGACTAAGACTGCAGTGCTTTTATGGTTTTTAGATTACAGTCAGCTGTCACTTCTAAATGATGACAGTTTAGCTGTACTGCTTCTATACTGCTCCTTTTACTATAGAGAAGCAGGAAAGAAACCACTTGTTTGCAAAATAAAGGCTATACATCCAAGATGGCTCTTTTCTCACTTCCAATTTTTGAGGTTGTATCCCAGAAACTTAGATTAACAGGAATCTGACCTCTGGTTGAGTAGCAAATAACTGTGTGTACTGATAAACTTATCACTACTCAGGTTAATTTTTTTTTGGAAAGTTAATACCAAATGAAAGGGTCTATTTACCCAAGCTCTTTGTTCATGATCATAAAGTAAAAGCAAACTTTAGGCTCACAATATGGATATATGCCTGTAAGTAACTACAGCAACTTTACATACAAGATGTATGTTACAAGGCTAGGCACGGTGGCTCACACCTGTAATCCCAGCACTTTGGGAAGCTGAGGTGGGCAGATCACGAGGTCAAGAGATCTAAACCATCCTGGCCAACATAGTGAAACCCCACCTCTACTAAAAATACAAAAATTAGCCGGGTGTGGCGGCACATGTCTGTGGTCCCAGCTACTCGGGAGGCTGAGGTGGAAAAACTGCCTGAACCCAGGAAGTGGAGGTTGCAGTGAGCCAAGATTGCGCCACTGTACTCCAGCCTGGTGACAGAGCAAGACTCCGTCACAAGAAACAAACAAACAAAACACACACACAGAAAAAGATGTATGTTACAAACTAAGAGCAGGGAATTTATTTTCCAGTCTGTTCATATGAAACTCCTTCCATGGGAGAGTAGAATGTGTCATCTCAGAAGGAAAAAGTCTAGAAATGTCTTCAGCAGGATGGAAATATGAAAATACAGCTATATAAAACTTAAGTGACGAGAGAAAAAACTAAAGGCGATAGGAGATTAACTTTAATACCTCATCTACTCATACAGCAGCTTTCCTAGATAATTATATTAACATTTCATCACTCCTGAATCAACAGTCATCACTTTGTCATCTAACAGGTTCCCACTTGTTTTCAGATTTAGATTCTAGATTTAAATGTTTATCTTAAGGGTAATGTACCCTAATAAGATGTAACATCAGTAACATTCAGAACATTTTTGAAAAAATAAAGACATATATCTGATTCAAGAATGATTATTGTTGTACTGTATTTTCTAAAGTAACAATATTTTTGTACTATATTTTTAAGGTAAATGTAGTACACTTCTCAATTTAAGACTATTTCCCAATTATTGCACAGATAAAATTCTAAGGCATTTTCAAGCACTGATTAACTTGGTATCTACAAAAATTTGGGCCACCACATGGACAGATGTGAGATGATTTTATCAGATCTGAGGGCAGAGGTAAGTGACAATGACTCAAATGAAGGGCCAGGTGTGGTGGCTTATGCCTGTAATCCCAGCCCTTTGGGATGCAGAGGCAGGCCGATCACCTGAGGTCAGGAGTTTAAGACCAGCCTGGCCAACATGGCAAAACCCCGTCTCTACTAAAAATAGAAAAATTAGCCAGGTGTGATGTCAGGCACCTGTAATCGCAGGTAATTGGGAAGCTGAGGCAGGAAAATAGCTTAAATCTGGGAGGCGGAGGGTGCAGTGAGCCAAGATCATGTCACTGCACTCCAGCCTGAGTGACAGAGCAGGGCTCCATCTCAAAAAAAAAAAAAAAAGTTATTCCCTCTTCATTCTCTTTCAGTTCCTCTGGCTGCATCAAGAACAAAGACCCAGTTTGGTGCCAAGATGTTAACATCATTGAAATTCTTGCCAATTTTACTTTTAAACAAAGGGCAAGTTTTAGACTTAGAGCCTCTGGCAGGGAATAGTTTCTAGCTAGAAATTAACAACGTTTGGTTTTCATTATTTTTACGTATATGTCCAGCTTCTGTTTATGCCAAGTGCCACCTGCTTTCTACTCATAGTTATCTCAAGTTTCCTTTAAAACATTACACATTGGTATAAATATTAATAACAGAATGCCAAACAGGAATATATGGCCAAAATGTTGAAGATGATATCACAATGACTGAAGTTTAGAAAATATTACACTAATCCATTTGGTCAACAAATAAGTGCCTGCTATATGTTCGCCATTGGGTTAGCCACCACAAAGAACAGAGAATAATGTTTAAAACAATGTGAATAGGAAAGTCAGAAGAGGGCAAATAAATTCAAAATGAGGCAATCAAAAAAAGGTTCACAGGGTAGCATTTGAGCTAGGTCTTGAAAGATAGGTATAATTTAGACAGAGACAGGAGAACATCCTGAGAAAGTAAAGGTATAATATGTGCTTGAGTGGCGGCATGTTCCAAATCTTGATTGTGGTGGTAGTCACATAGGTGCGTGTATATCTACTAAGACTTGTTGAAATGCACACTTAAATGAATGTACAGCAGTGTATATAAATTTTTCCTAAATAAATTTGATACCATATCATTGACCAATGCAATGAAAGGTCATTGAGATTTCAGGCTTTGACAGCTAGCAAAGGAGGAAGTAAATACAATAAAGGAAAAAGGGAAACCGCCAATTAAAAACAAATGGATCATTTTCATATAATAAATTCTCAATAAAAACTGCTGGCTATTACACAAAAAACATTAGTTTTACATTTCTACTTAATAGTTCCAGGGAGATAATTTACCTGAATTAAGGCTTATCTATTAAAATTTCATGTTCTTTTCCCACCTCTATGCCCAAGCAAAATTGTACATTAACACCATTCACCCTAAGAAAGTAACAAAGAATGGACAGAATATCCACACTGGTTGTGTGCTAGTGACACTTAACAGAATTTAGCAAAACAATTTAAGATTGTGTTCAGCACACATCCTGTTTGTAAAGCAATTTAGAAATAACCATCTCGGAATTTGTGTTTTAGCCTTTAGCTCTTTTCCATGACATAACTTCTTAAAATTATGTAGTTATTACACAGTAAACACATTTGGGGTGGCTTGTACCACAATTTCATTTTAGGAATTCAAGACTTAAGGAGAAATCATAAAAGTGATGCCATTATCAGTCTTCACTTGGAACTTTAAAATGCCATTTTGAGTAAAACCAACTCCACTCCACCATAAAATCAAATTCAAAATGTTAATTACGGTTTTAAAAATTTTTTAAAAAACAGAAAAAAAATAACTCTTCTGCTGCCAATAACTAAAGGATTAAGATTCACGGGAACTTAAGTGTGTCCTTAATGTTTTACTAAGAAAAATATAATTCTTTTTTTTTTATATACAAGTGAGTTGCCACTAGATCTTCATGCTCCAAAAAGCTTAAAGTGAATGACAGCCAAAAAAAAAAAAAGCCTAATGCATGGACTTTTATAGTTGAAAGGGACTCAGCTCAAGTACAGTAGTTTTCAAATTTGTATTCCATGTAATTATATTCTGAGAGTTGTTAACCAACTGGCCATGAGAAAATAGATTAGGTAAATGTAGGGAATGCTAGGATAACCTTCCCCTGGAGATTTACATGTATAAGCCTAACAGTAAAGGTTTTGAAGAGTCCTCCCTTTATAGGCAAAAAAGTTAAACCTAGCTTAACCTAGCGTGCTCTCAAATTATTTGCCATGCAACACTGCTTTGGGGGAAGTAAGCCTATCAAATGACTTCAGAAGACTGCTCTGAGGGAAATACCAGTTTGGAAAATCCTGGTCTTTTCAAATTCCCTTAAACAATGACAAAACTAAAGCCTAGAGATCACACCTGGTTAGTAGCATATTAAAGGACCTGAATCTAATCTCTTCATCCCCAGGTCAGAGCTCATTCCATTACTTTAACTACAAAATAGGAATTCTTTGAACATATAAAATCAAACATTTAACTGACAACACTTACCTTACATTTAAGATTTGGGATATGGCGTCACATTTTCTGGTTTGTGTATTAACTCAGGTGTTTTTAGTTCTTTCAGCACTAGGTTCCCCAATAATCAAGCCCACGTGGAGATTTGCTACTGCTTAACAATTATAGAAAACGATTTCGTTATCAGTTGTGGCTGAAAGTAATCACTAAAATAAAGTATTTAGACTACTCGGTGGTTTTAATTTACTCATAACTTCAGTCGGCCCACCTAAATCACTGTGTTATCTATCAGGTGGTGAGTTACTTAACACAGTAATGCTGACACGTTATTCACTGTATATCATATTAATACCTACAAACAAAATTAAAATGCAAGAACTGATATCTGCATAGACAATAGCCAACAACATCAAAACAGAGTTATTTGTCTTCTACAGTTCAGGGCCTATTTGTCAGGCAAACAGTTTCCTACATTTTTGGTAATTATAATTTTTTGACTGCTCTAGCCGGAGTCGAAGTAATTTTCCCAAATCTTTATATTTTTCAAGCTCCACAGAACTCTAAGATAGTGTAAAAATGTTCAAAACACAATTTACTTAGCTTTTGAGAATAGTTGTGTGCATTCCCCGCCCGCTCAGGGTACTGGAATAGAGGAGGCCGAACAAGTGACTATTGTTATGTTGCAACTTTAAAAGGCTCGGAAATCAAAGGTGATAATTGTTAACAACTGCCGTTTGACTCTTCGGACTTCCTCTTAATAAACTTCGGTACTCCTTCCTAAGCCACTTGGAGAACAGGAACCAACGCGAGCCTTCGTGTCTCCTCAATGCTGACAGAACCCACCAGCTGAGGAGAAGGCACAATGCCTCGATTCCTCCAACAAAGAGGGTATTCCGTGCGCCTCCACCTCACAGGTGCGACCTCTGCCCCAGCTTGCGCACTGCTCCGCCCCAGCTCCGGAGGTTCGGGACCTGCCCCCCGGGCCCGGCCCCGCCTCCGGCCTCCCTTGCCCGAGGCCACCCTCGCGCCTCCGCCCGGTCCCGGCTTCGGCCCCAGCCCTGGCCCTCTAGTCCCCGCGCAGCTCCTGACTTCCCGGAAACCAGAAGGCGGCTGACCAGCTTCGCGGCTCCAGGCGGGGCCAGAGTGACAACACCCCCGACGCCACAGTAGTTAGACACGCGAGGTGTCCCGGCGGCTCAGAACCTAGCCTAGCTTGGCCGAGGAGGATGCTCGGAGCCGGCGACCAGCCTAGCGACCGCATTGGGGACGGGAACGCTTTTACCTGCTGCGGGCTCAGCCGCTCCCCGCCAGCACCGCTCTCCTGGCAACCGCTGCAGCTACACCGAGGCCAGGAGCCGAAGGGCCTAGTGACAGCTCCCAGCGTGCACCGCGCTCGCGCCCACGCCGGCGTCGACGTCTGCGGCCTTCGATCCCCGCCCCCCGGTCGGCTTCCTGCCTCCCGGCGCTAGCTGTTGCCACAGCGCCCTCAAGTGGACTGTCGCGGGAAGCGGCCATGGCTACCAATTTCAGGAGTGGCTAGAAAGGGGTTTAGCAGGTGTTTTCAACTTGCCAGCGCCAGTCTCATCTTGATGGAGAGTTTGAAGGGATAATAGGAACCGAAAACAGCTTTTAAATGTTACTTAGATAACTATGTAAACATTATTTTAATAGTTTCTCAATATTTCATGTGAGTAACCTGTGGCCCAGAGAGGTTAGGAGACTTGTGAAGTTAGGAGACAAATATTGGGTATCAGATTCGGAACTATTTTGAGTTTAAAGCTCTTTTCTGTCAATCATGTCTAGTTATTCCAAGGGGGATTGCACCGTTTTGTCAACACTGTAGGGTCAAAAAAATAATTGAAGTTTTTACAAATACGTAATTAAATATATAGCAATCTTTTAAGCTGACAAAACAATTATGAAGAGTAAGCTGTGCTAAGGAAAATGTGTATTTCAATATAATGTGTCAATATTTAAACATTCAATAGCTTCGAGGATTAAAAGTGGAGGATATGAATAGTTGAAATCATCATCCTTCAAATAGATGAATTGAGACCAAATAGTAGTAAACTTAATTTTTTGAGTTGTTGCTTCCATGTATGATTTCAAATTATTGTGATAGATATAATAATTTGTGCATCAACATGATGAACTTTAATAACCCCAAATACTGATTTTAGAAAAATTGTTCCAAGCTATTATCTTAAAATATGTGACAGGATTTATTTATTTACAATTTATTGTCTGGGTTAGGTTGCTCATGCCTGTAATCCTAGCACTTTGGGAGGCCAAGGCGGGCGGATCACATGAGGTCAGGAGTTCGAGACCAGCCTGGCCAACATGGTGAAATCCTGTCTCTACTAAAAATACAAAAATTAGCTGGGTGTGCCTTGCGCCTGTAATCCCTGCTACTGGGGAGGCTGAGGCAGGAGAATCGCTGGAACCCAGGAGTGGAAGGCTGCAGTGAGCCGAGATCGCGCTGCTATACTCCAGCCTGGGCAACAGAGTGAGACTCCATCTCAAAAAAAATAAATAAATAAAAATAAAAAAGAATTTATGGTCTAGGCCGGGCGCTATGGCTCACGCCTGTAATCCCAGCACTTTGGGAAACCAGGGTGGGCAGATCATTTGTGGTCAGGAGTTCTAGACCAGTCTGGCCAACGTGGTGAAACCGCGTCTCTACCAAAAACATAAAAATTAGTCGGGCATGTTGGCACATGCCTGTACTCCCAGCTACTCAGGAGGCTGAGGCAGGAGAACTGCTTGAACCGGGAGGCGGAGGTTGCAGTGAGTTGAGATCGCACCACTGCACTCCAGCCTGGGCGACAAGAATGAAACTGCGTGTCAAAATACATATATATATATATATGGTCTAATTTTTTTGTTTAGAAATACTTCAAATTAATGTGTTTGGTGTGCAGTAATTATTACTTTGAAATGATAAAACAGAACATCAATAAACAAGGTTTTAGGTATACAAGCCATCGCTATTTTTGTTTTAAAAAATAGCAGCTTCTTGTTTTTAAGAAATCCTATTGTAAATTCTACCCTGGTCTTACATTTTAATGGTTCTTCATTATAAGCATTTACATTATAACAGGTTCTCTACTGTGCCAAACTTTTCAAAACTATCTTCTAGTCGTAATGGGATGACGACTTCTCTTAGTTCTTACTTCTGTGAAAGTGAATAGTGGAGCTGTACCATTCTCATCGTCCTTTTTTACCCCCTAAAAAATGGTTAATCCTGTATTCAAGATAGACTTCAGCCACACTCTTCTGCATCAGGTAACAAAAAACTTCCTTACGTTTTTGCACCTGTTTCAATTTTGGAGCTATCCTAAGTTGAGAAGCAACGGCAAGTCAATTCTTGAAATTTTCGTTGCTTTAGACAGAGACTAACAAGCTGTCCTTGTTCATAAAAAAGACCAGGATAAAGTGGGTTTGGGGCGGGGAATTCTGCTCTTGGATCTCCTGGGGACAAAGCCCACCTGTAACACCTGCCTCCATCATCTCCTTCCCTTCCAGCTAGCCAAAGAGTGTACCCTGGGTCTGATTTTTATGGTCATTTCCAGGGAGGCTAAAGCGTCAAGTCACGCTCATAAGAAACAGAGAGGGAGGATAGCTTGCCTCTTGCCGCCCACCTTTCTCAGCACTATGGGGCAAAAGCCTGGTTTTGAAAACGCGCGCCCATCCCCGCCCTCCGGGGTCCCGCGCGTTCACTGTAGCGCGCTCTCCGGCCGGCAAGCGGCGCTGTGAGCTGGTAGGCGGCGTGAGCCGCGCGTCTTGGTACAGGCGCCGGCGCCGCAGCGGCGCTGCTGCTGGTTGGTCCGCACGTGGGACCGCTCCTGGTCACGTTGACCCGGGCCCCTTGGACCCTCCAGCTTGGTCCATCCCGGGATTGGACGCCCGCCATGGCGGCAACTGCGGCGGAGACGCGCGTGTTTCTGGAGGTGCGGAGACAGCTGCAGAGCGCGCTGCTGATCCTGGGGTAAGAACTGGGATCCTAGGCGCGGTGCTCAGCACGCTTTTCTGCTCTCGGGGGTTGGGGGCTGGTGAGTCTCTCTTTGCCTCTCTGCGAACGAAGGACTTTGAGTTTCTTGTTTCCAGTTGCGTAGAGCCTCTCGACCACTCAAAGTGAAGCTTTCCCCTGTAGTCGCCTCCGCCACCCACACCCTAACTGACAGTCTGGGTGTCTTTGGGGTGCTTTTTAGAAACTCAGGGTTTCAGCCCCACACCAGACTTACGGAATCAGAACTTTTATTTAAACAAGATTCCCAGGAATCAAATGCACATTAAGATTTGAGGAACGGTGATGTAATACACTGTTGGCAGTGCCTGGCGTTTCCGACAAAACAATGCAAAAAATGCCTTGTCTACCTCTCTTCGGGATCCTCCTTATTGGATCAGTTCCTATGTGTGCGCTTCTTGTTTTGTAAATAACTTCGGATCTTTTCCCTTCAAACTGCTCTTTGTAGAGAAACCACACAGTCATTCAATAAACGTGAGTTTAGTGAACCACTAAGAAAGGTTGCAGACTTCTCATTGGAGCTCGTTCTTTTATTCATATTCTGAGTTCCAATGAGAACGTTGAACTTGTTATTTGCTACATAAACAAGAGACTTTTAGGGAAAATGTTCTCTTTTTTGTTTGAAAGCAGTTTTAATGATTTGTGGTCCCCTTGTCTATTCCTTTGTGATCGCTGTCTCAGAGAGAGATTAAGTTAGATGTTAAAATCCTGAGAATGTTATTACACAGTGTCACAGGTAGATTGATGCTTAGTTTTTTCCTCCTTTCTCTCAATCTGTCAGATATCTCGTGTGGCAGTTTGAGATATGGCGTGAGAACTGAGTTCAAATGCTTGCTTCCTCACAAAGTTAGAATAATTTAATCTGAATTTCTTCAATCTTGAAATGGAAATAATGCTTAGTACTCTAAATGTATTTCTTTTTTGCTTTCAAAAATCATGAATTTGGGCAAGTGTCTCCAATTCTGGTGCACCTTGTAATTAGGAGCCCAAGCCCTACCAAAACAATACAAAAAACAAACCACACACACCAACAAACCCTCCCTTCCTCTCATCCAGGGTCCTTTCACAGTTCCCTTGCACTACTGTCCCTTGTTTAAGCAAGTTAGGAAACCTAACTTTGCTGGACTTAGTTTTGACATTTCTTGAACTGCTTATAAATGGATTCATACACTGTGTGTGTGTGTGTGTGTGTGTGTGTGTGTGTGTGTGTGTGTGTGTATTGTTTCTGGCTGCATTTCTTCCATAATATTTTAAAGATTCATGCTCCATCTATGTGGCTGCATATATCAGTAGTTCATTTCTTTTTCTTGCTGAGTTTTCCATTGTATGAATATACCACAATTCATTTATTTGTTCTACTGCTGGATGTTTTTCTTGATTCCAGAGTTTGCTTATTATGACTACAGCTGTCATAACATTATTGTATAAATCTTTTTTTAGTCATACATTTTCATTTCCTTTTAGCTAAGTACCTAAGGGTACTTACCTGAAATTTCTGGGTCATAGGACAGATATGCGTGTTACTTTGTGAGAAATTACCAAACAGTTCTCCGAAGTAATTGCACCAGTTTACACACTCAACCAGGAAAAAAATGAGAGTTTCAACTGCTTACATTCTCACCTGGGTTTAGTATTGTTAGTCCTATTAGTTTGAACCATTCTAATGGGTGTAAAGTAGTATCTTGTAGTTTTAATTTTCACTTCACTGATGACTAATAATGTTAAGTGCCTTTTCATTTTTTTTTTTTAATTCATATATGTTCTTTCTAAAAGTGTCTTCTAATTTTTTGCTGTTTGTCAGATTGTTTATCTTATTGTTTAATTGAGAGTTCTTTATACAGTCTCAAAACAGGAGCTTTTTCATATAAATGCCTTGTGAATATATTACTATTCATATCTGTGACTTACTTTTTCATTTTCTTTTTTTTTTTCTTTTTGAGACAGGGTCTCAGTCTACTGCCCAGGCTGCAGTCCAGTGCTTTGATCATGGCTCACAGCAGCCTCAACCTCCTGGGCTCAAGCGATCTTCCCACCTCAGCCTCCTGAGTAGCTAGGATACAGGTGCATGCCACCACACCCGGCTAATTTTTGTATGTTTTTGTAGCGATAGGGTTTCACCATATTGCCCAGGCTGGTCTCCAGCTCCTGGACTCAAGCAATCTGCCCGCTTTGGACTCCCAAAGTGCTGGGATTACAGGTGTGAGCCACCATGCCCAGCCTCATTTTCTTAATAGTGTCCTTTGATGAACAGAAGTTGTTATTTTAATAAAGTACACTCTATTGCTTTTTTTTTTCTTTAAGGCTTCTTTTTTTTTTTCTGTTTTTGGTGTCTTAAATCTTTGCCTACCTCAAGGTTGTGAAGATTTTTTGCTCGGTTTATTTTCTAGGAGTTATATAGTTTTAACTTTTACAGTTTGATCTGTGATCATGTTGAATTCAATTTTGTGTTTGCAGTGAAGTAGGGATCAAAATTCTTTTTTGTGTGTGTGTGTGTGAGGATATTCAGTTATTCTGTCACCATCAGTTGAAAAGGCCATAATTTCTCCCATTAAAATAACTCAGTATCTTCATGAGAAATCAATTGACTATACTGTTTGCATAGTATGTCTTTTCTACCCTCTTGTCTTACATCTTTCAGTATAAAGCATAAAACTGTAAAAATACTGTATTTCTGTAAAAATAGCATAAAACTATATGCTATTTTAAAAAATACATAGTTTGGTGATTTTAAATCCATTCTGATGATCTGTGCGTTTTAATTAAAATGTTTAGTCTATTTTATGGTTAATGTAAATATTGGTGTTCTCATTCCTAATTGCTATGGTTTGGATGTGTTTTGTCCCTACGTTTTGTCATGTTGATCCCCAATGTGGCAGTGTTGAGACATAGGGACTAGACTAGTGGGAGGTGCCTGGTTCCTGGGGGCAGGTCCTTCTTGAATAGATTAATGCCCTCCCATGGGAGATGGGTAGGTGAGTTCTCTTTCAGGAATGGATTAGTTCCTGCAATAGTGGATTGTTAAAAAGAGTCTGGCTTCCTCATTTTCCATTCAAGATGGAATGGAATATAAAGATCTATTTATGTTAAACCATCTTAGCATTTTGGGATAAACTTTGGCCATTCATTTATTCAATCCACAGATGTTTATTGTGTTCTTACTCTAGTACGGAAAATTCAAATTCTAAGTGCTGAGGATACAACCATGAACAGTAATAACAGCAAAGACAAGAATACTTGCCTTTGCTGAGCTTACAGTCTAATGGTGGCAGTATGGAAGAGGCAGCAGAGAATATACAAAATAAATAAAATAAGACTGGGCGCGGTGGCTCACGCCTGTAATCCCAGCACTTTGGGAGGCCGAGGCGGGTGGATCACGAGGTCAAGAGATGGAGACCATCCTGGTCAACATGGTGAAACCCCGTCTCTACTAAAAATACAAAAAATCAGCTGGGCATGGTGGTGCGTGCCTGTAATCCCAGCTACTCAGGAGGCTGAGGCAGAAGAATTGCCTGAACCCAGGAGGCGGAGGTGGCGGTGAGCCGAGATTGCGCCATTGCACTCCAGCCTGGATAACAAGAGCGAAACTCCGTCTCAAAAAATAAATAAATAAATAAATAAATGAAATATGTATTTGATAGAAGTAGAGAAAAAATTTCAAAAGGGATGGGGAGGAAAAAGTTACAATCTTTTATTTCAAATGAGATATAGACATTTGAGTATTAAACTAAAAAGGGTGAGATGTAGAAGTGACATGCTTGTGTGAGACAATTTCCATTTGTGAGAAAGTATGTTTGAAAGGGTTCCTAGTTCAAAGAGATGCGGGTGAGGTGGGGCAACAGATAGTAAAATGTCTTATGGCAGTGTGCTGGTACATGTTTAATATTCTACTCTCCATGAAAACAAAAAGACAAACAAAAGGTCTTGATTTGCAGCATTTGTTGATTTCTTTGGTGTGAATACTTTTGCCATGGATGACCTTCAGTCTACCAACTGGGTGAGTTGACCTGCTTTGCAGAACTGCTAGAATTTTAACAACAGGTTCTCCAAAGCTTATAGCATACTAGAGTATAGTAGTGGCCTACCATACCACTGTGACTTATGGACCATCGGAAGGACTTTAGTTTGTAGAGTGAGAGATGAAGTCATTGGATAGTTGTAAGCAGGGTGTGATACCTGACAAAATACAAGTCAATGGTGAAGAAAGCCTCAACTATAAAAATATTGTATGGACCTTGTCATCAAACTTAGTCTCAAAGTAGGACTCTCCTAAATAACCATCATCCAACCCTCAGAACTGGGAAATATGTTGCTACCATCTTACATCATTCATGCTTTGCCAGTCGTCTGTTATAATATCCCTGATAACAGAAGTATCCAGTTCAGATTAATGCATTGCATTTCACTGTCCTGCTTTCTTTGTTTCAGTCTGGAAGAGTTCCTCATTTTCCATTGACTTTCATGATTCTGACACTTTGGAAGATGATAGCACAATCATTTTGTAGAAAATCCTTCCGTTTGGATTTGTCTTGTTTCTTCAAGACAAGATTCAGGTTTTGTATCTTTGGCAGGAATATAACAGAATATAACAGAAGTGACGCTTCCCATCCGGTGCGGTGGCACAGGATTTTGCTTTGTTCCATGAAATTGGTTGTGTTAACTTTGAGCACTTAAGAAAGATGATGTCTGCCAGGCTTCTCTACCTTAAATTTACGCTTTTTCTTTTTGTAATCAATAATTGGAGAGGTATTCTGAGATTATGTAAATACCCTGTTCCTCATCAGAGTTTCATTTTATTCATTTATGTGTATCAGTAAGGACAAATGATTCTTACTGTGGGTTACTCAGTGGGTTTTAATTTTTGTTTTATTCAATGGGCTACTTTTTTGCTCATATTATACCAGATGTGGCCAAGGAAGTCCGTTCTGGATGGTTTCTGGTTATTTTTTGATACGTCCCTGTCA